CCGACGACGCGGCCTGAAATGAGACGCCCACCGCGGCGACGTAGCGCTATGGTATACGCGCCGCCGTGTCCGCATCGGCCACAGCCGCCTCCGTACCGCCGCCGCCCTGGTCGCCTCCGCCCTTGTCACCTCCGCCGCCACCCTTGTAGCCCCCCGCTGCTCCCTTTGTCGCCGCCCTTGTCGCCGCCGCCGCCGCCGTGCGCGGCGCCGTTGGGGGCGGGCGGCGGCGGCAGCGAGCAGACCGTGCCGCCCCCCGCCTCCAGCAAGGCCAGGAGCGGGTCGCCATCGTAAAGCACGTCGGCCGGCTCGAGGACCACGCACCTTCCGAGAAGGTTCCGAGAAGGTTCCGAGAACCACGCACCTGCTCGCCCGAGACTCGGCCGAGAGTCAGGCCGAGAGCCGGCGCAGAGTACCCGAGATCGCCCGAGATTAGAGCAGGCTCCACCTGCTCACGCGCGCCGCGCGGGAGGAGGCCGTGGCCACGGCAGCACTCTCTGTGTCTCGTCTGTGTCTCGTCTGCATCTCGGCTGCATCTCGGCTGCATCTCGGCTGGGTCTCGGCGCCAGCGCGAGTCGATCGAAGCTCGCGCCGTCGCGCGCTGCACAGCTCGTGTCGGGCCAAGGTCGGAGGTCTGACGGTGGAGGCGAGGGCGGTGGGGGTGAGGGTGGCGGCGAGGGCGGCGGCGGAGCCAGCCAGTGTGCGTGCATGCTTCAGAGGGAGCGAGAGTGGAAGGGGGTGCGCGCGAGCTGCGAGGCTGTGAACGGCGTCTCTTCACACCGGCAGCTGTGAACAGGCGCGCAGTTCATAGGCTGCGAGGCTGTGTGTGCATCGGCGTGAGTACACTTGCTGGTGGCTCGGTGTGTGGGCAAGGAGGGTGGAGGAGAGAGAGAGTCCATCTCTCGGCACCCTCTCGGCACCCTCTCGGCACCCTCTCGGCACCCTAGAGACCAGACTGTGGCGAAAAGACGGACAAGGCGGGCGCGGGGACGGAGAGAGGAGGCGAGAGCGCACAGGCGTGGGGGGTGCGGGGAGAGGCGCGGGTGAGACGGGCGCTGGCTGGCGAGGAGCCGGGGGGGGGCGACGGCCGACGTGCGGCGCGAGGGAGAGAGGTGGTTCGGAAGGGTTGTGCCGCGAGGGGTAGCGGAAGAGTCCCGTCTTTGTGGGAGGGGTGGGAGATGGCGGGCGGGCGGAGGGGCGGGGGGCAACGGTGTGCGGGCCTGCGGCAGCGGCGGAGGCGCCGAGTACGACGGCGCCCGCGGCCTCGCCGAGCGCGAGCCGTTCGAAGGCGCACGCAGCGCAGGCGGCGCCACCTGGGGAAGAGAACGGCGCGCTGCCGCGTCGAGGGCTGCGGGCCGGTCCCAGGCTGGGGGGGGTCGGGCGGCGGCGCGCGCCCGCGGGTTGGAGGAGGCCGGCGCGGGCTCGACGGCGGGGAGCGTCGCCCGCTTCGTCCTGCACGACCACCGGCGGGGCTCAGATGTGGGCGCGGGAGGAGAGACCCTTTGAGGGGGGCGTCGCCGGTGCGGCGGGTCGTGAGGGCGGGAGAGAGACGCACTTGGGCGCGAGCTGCGCCGGCGTGAGCGGCTCCCCGGAGGCGAGCAGCAGCGCCTGCCGCCGGCTCTCGGCGTACTCGCCGCGCGGGCCGTGGTACACCTTGTACGAGCGGCCCGTCTGAGTCGTTCGCTGTATGACGACCCAGCCGGGCAGGTCCGCGTCGACGCCGGGCGGCGGGCTCTGCTGACGGGGTCCAGGACTTGGTGGCGGCGGCCGGTGCTGCTGCGGCGGCGCGATGTCGGGCGGTCTGAGGGGCGCGCCACCGCCCATCTTGCGCCGCGCCGAGTGAGCCCCCTGGGCTAAATAAACAAATCAACGGTTTTTGGGCTGCATGATCCAAGTGCTCCATAAGCGCCCGCCGGTGTTAAATGGCGGTTGCTGCCCGCTTGCTCGCGGCGGCGGTGGTGCTGCTGGCGGCCAGCACCGCCGGCCGTGAGCGCAGCGACAGCGACCGAGGGAGCGCGGCGCGCGACCGTATGAGGGTCGATGCGGCGCGAAGCACTACCTACGAGCTGCACGTCAACGCCGACAACTTCTGCAACAACCACATCATCGCCAACAGCAGACAGTGAGCCGCCCTGGATGTGAGGTTAATGACTGCACTCCAAGTGCTCCAAGTGCACACACACATCGACAACAGTGAGGCAGACGAGAGCGTGTGTGTGTGTGTGTGTGTGTGTACGAGAGCGACACCGCACGGATTGCTCCGCGGGCACGTCGCCGCATGCCTCCGGCTGGCAGCTAGCGGTAGCGCTGAGGGCTAGCGCTGCGCGGGGGCAGAGACCTTCCTGTGTGCTCGGCGAGTCGAGCTGTTCCTCTTGCGTGGTCAAGCCCCCACAAGCGATGATCGCACTGGTGGCGGAGAGTATCGTACACTCAGACCATACGGTCTGGATCTGCTTACTTGGCATGCGGGCGTGCTGGTTGAGTGGAGCCACGGCGAGTACACGACGGTGCTGGAGCTGGCGTGGCTGGGCGGGCTGGGAGGGTACGGGGGCAAGTCCAACTGGTACGACGACCGCGATGCGAAACGACCGGCGCTCTACAACGCGATGCCCGCGGCCCTGAAGATGCCTTGGCGGCCAGACCGGTCCGAAGTGCGCGTGCTCGATGTTGGTGCCAAAAACTTGCGCGAGTTCAAGAAGTTCCTGCAAAGGTATGAGGGTGCGACGGGGCGGTTTCTCGACCCGGACATCGCAGCCTCTGCTCCTGTGCGGCTGAGCCATCGCTCGCGCGACGACGTTTTGCGCGCTGTGCTCAACTGCGCACGCAACGACGTGGGGTACAGCGAGCAAAATCGCAACTGCCAGACGTTTGCGGCGGACATGTTCGCCCTTCTCACGGGACTGCACTCCGAAGAACCGTACACTGCAGTTGTGCGCGCTTTTCACAAGCAGCGGCTCGACCACTTCCTTTGCGACCCGCCCGTCAGGCCGTTCCATCGCGACTGACGGCACTCGATGGCACGGGAGCCGTGCGCAGTCTCGCAACCTCGGGACCGCTAGCCCAGGGCAGGCAGGCAGGCAGGCATGCAGGCGCCCCGCCCATTGCACGTGCGCGGCCACGGGGCGGACGCGAGACACGCAGGACAGAGATCCAATCTCTCCCCCTGAGAGACTGCGCGCGGAGCGCGCCGCCGCGCCGTGCCCCCGCCCCGGCCCCGTGCGCGCCCGGAGAGCGGAGATTGTGAAGCGCGCGATACCGCCTTTTTCCGCTGTTGTTCGCCTCTCTCGCCCCCGTACAATGTGTAAGTACAACACAGCCCTTTTCTCCCCTTTTCCCAAGCCCCATATCGTTCACGCCTCGCTCGAGCCGTTCCAGAGACAAGAGAGCGGGACACCGACAGCACGCGCCGCACCAGAGCACCGCAGGGGCACTGTAGTCAAGGTGTGCTGGCTGCCGTGTCCGCCCGCTGCACCCGCCGCCCTCTTCAGCCCGCCGCTCCCCCCCTGCCTCACGACGCCTCCCCACCCTCCGACGCAGGGCCGGCGACGGGCTTTTGGCCGCGGCTGGGGCCCGGCGGCCCCTGAGCGACCGGCATCATCGGCTGGTAGACGAGGGGCGCTGCCGGCATGGGCGCATAGGCGCCGCCCATCATCATGCCGGGGGGGAGCATTCCGCCGGGCATCAGCGCCGCGCCGGCGGGAGGCGGATACCCAAAGGGGGGAGGTGCGCCAAAGTGCGGGGGTGGCATCAACACCTTGGACCCGAGGGGCGGCGGCCCGGAGGGGCTGACGGGGCCCATCGGGACCATGCCCATGCCCGGGGCCATGGTCAAGGGCGGGGACACCCCGTGCTGCACAGGGATGCCTGTGGCGATGCCTGTGGCGAGGGAGACAGACAGAGTGAGTGAGTGAGTGAGAGAGAGAGAGAGAGAGAGAGAGAGAGAGAGAGAGAGAGAGAGAGAGAGAGAGAGAGAGAGA